GGACTTTGAAACACTAAAGTGTTAAGACAAGTGCCGTGATCTCACTGAGGTGAAGAGAAAAAGAAAATAACGACTGTAAGCAATCTTTATAAAGGTATTAACAATATGGTTGGTAAGATGACTAAGTCCTATCAGATTCCCACCACAGAGAAGGGTTAATGGGCTGTGCCAGATATTTCTGAGGAAAACATGTTAAACTCAGTTGAAGAGATAATAACTTTGCAGTTAAAAACAATTAATGCTGAAAAGCGAATTCAGGCCAAATATCATATAGTCCCAGACAGTGATGGTTTGTGGAGTACAGACAACACGAAACGTGCATGGGGGAAGATGCAGCGTTTCTCGGGTAAAGATAAATTAGCATTAGCTGTGGTGATTTTTGAGTCAGACTACTGTGAGGCGCAGAATTGATGCTGACCGTAAATTTCAGCGGGAGAAGGAAATAAATTGGATGACATAAGAGTTGATCCAACTGTATCCATTCAGGGAGATGCATGAAGCCGGTCAGGGACATCATTTTATGCCATCAGTTGATGAATGTGTGTCAGAATCTGATTGTAAAGATTATAACGTCACATCAAGGGCAAAGTTAAGACCCGTCGTGGCAAGACGTGTTGACAGAGATATAAGGCAGCAAAAGCTAGTGACATAGATCAGTGGTCAAAAGATATGCAGCATCCTAGGAAAGCGGGAATGAATGTGTGGTCTAAAATAAACAGACAAAATAAACAGGCAAAATATATCAGCTGCATCCCTTTGATGGGGTGGCGATGCTATGCACCATTTTAAACACCTCCGAAGCAACGAGGTTGAGACGAGCGGTGGAGAACAGCATAAGTGAGGATGAGCAGGATCTTGCAGATCTCTGGACAGCGCTCCGCGATTGGATCCAGAGTGTAACAAATGCAACTACTGATTGGTCTAAGGTGTCTGGTTGTACTCAGAAAGTTAATTAACCTGTTGATGATTTTGCACACAGATTTACTGAAACATTTTTGAGACATTCAGGTGTGGCTGGTCTAACAGAAGACAACATCAGCAACAACAATCATGGTGCTTTAAAAGCTAATTTGCTGCAGAACTTAACCTCTGATATAAGGCAACCCATTAAGTTGACGTCTCCAATGTGGTAGGATGTAACTTACACTTTTGACATGCTAATTGGTGCAGCTAAACGGGTTGAGAACAGCATTGAGCACAGAATAAGATCTGTCACAGACCATAGCATGTTTAACAATGAGTACATGGTGAGAGGCCTAGGTGTAGGTGTTAACAACCACAGGGTCAGATACAGAGGATCAATATAGAAAGGAAACAGACATATATCTAATGATGTTTTTTTGGAAGAATTTAATTTATTATCATTGCTTCATGCTGAACTGTCGCTTTAAGAAACTGTTTGCTTCTCATATTATAATCTAGTGTGCTCAAGACTGATGGAGAAATTACCAGACACAGCCACACAGACATTCACAACCGCCTTCTTACTTCATACCCATTCATATACTCACACACAATCACATGATATGTAATCTGATACTTTTGTAAACTAAATAAAAGAGCAGAGGAAGGGTGAAGCAACTGGGAGTTGATGAGGAAGCTGCCAGCAGAGCAAGCTGCACTCTCCCCTTGCAAGTAAAAGATCCAGACGTCTTTTGTGTTGTTACTTTGTCGTCACACATGTTAGAATAAACCTAACATAACTTGGTCCTTCGAGCCGGATGCCAACAAATTAAGCAGAACCTAAGGATCGGGTGGAGAACGACTAGAAACCATGCACGGCCAGAACCAGGTTCTGGGGAAAGACCTGGGGAGTGAATTCTCACTCAGGCCAGTACTCCGACACCTGATCCTAGGCTGCTGATTGACGATACCAGAATAAGATCGACGACAAGGGTGAGAAACAACGTTTTATTACTAGCGCGTGGTTGAAAAATGGGTTTAAGTCCCTGGGCAGTAATCCCTAAATGCTGATAAATGGGTTGCAAATCCCTGGGCAATAATCCCTAGAACTAAGCGGGTTGGAGTCCATGGGCAGCAGCCCCTAGATGTCAAAGGCCTAAAAAAGAGTAAGCTGAAAATACCAGATCAAAGAAAACACTGAACCAAAACTGGAGCACATCATTAGGACATGCCTTAAGCCCATCTCCACCAGAAATACCAAATTTTGATGATAACATTGCAGACGCCTTTCCCATGATACAAGTGGCTGATCTGCACGAGATCCAAATGATCCAAAGGCACCACTCACTATAAAAGTATATAGAACCTGGACAAAAGATGATGTGACGTTCCATCATATAAGCAGGACCCAGAGCAATGTTGTGCAGATATGCAACAGTTAATTAATTCTTACTGCCTGAATGGAGCTGAAGTTCAGCAGGTTTTTCAGGCAGTAACAGGTAAAGACTGGGCTAGAGTTAAAGGTGATTGGAATCCAATGGCAGGATATCCTCCGACACCACTTAAACCTGAAAGTATTCAGGTTTAAGTATTCACCTGAAAGAATTAAAAGATAGAATGCGGGCGGTTTTTGAAAAAATTAATATTGCATTTAAAAGGACAGCACATGTTACTAAAATTGGCCGAACTCGACAAAGAGACAACGAACTATTTGATGATTATCACACGAGAATGGCAATGGTGTTTAAACAAAACAGTGGAATAAGTGATGATGGGGATCAAAATGGCCCTTATCATGAACAACTAAAAAATGTGTTACTGCAAGTGTTATTGCAAGAAACTAAGGGTTGGTTAGAAAAGAATAATGTTTCTTTGCCCACCCAATCCCTTACTGATTTTATAACATGGGCAAATCACGCTGCGAGAGTAGCAAAAAATAAGAAAAAAGCTAAAAGGGAGAAAGGACAGAGCATGACTAGAAAAGAAAGAGCAAACAGAAGAACATTTTGATGGTATTGAAACATTAGTTCTGAGCAAAATTTTCTTATTTGATCCAAGTAAACCAGAAGTTGAACTAATAATAAATGGAAAAAAAATGACGTTCTTATGTGACACAGGAGCATGTAGAACTGTGTGCTGCGAAAAATTAAAAGGCATAACAGAATCAAAAGATTTTATCTTTGTTAAATCAGCAAACGGACTGACTACAAGAAGTCCACTGACTAATCCTGTAACTCTCACAAATCCAGAAAATGGAAATAAATGCCGAATGCAAATTATTTTGGCACCAAATTGTCCAGTAAACTTATTAGGAAGAGATGCAATGTCACAGTTACGACTAGCGATTGTGCCCGATGAGACTGGTGGAATGACTGTGAAAAGAATAGACACAATAAACACTGCTGGCGGTCTGGTAGGCTCCCAAACCCCCCGCCCCCAGCCAACCCCTCCGGGTGGGCGGCGGGAGGTGGAGGCTGTCTCCGCGCCGGCAGTGCCGCGCCGGGCACATTTCCTCCGCAGCGGTGCGCCGTGACCGGCTCTGGGTCGACCGGGAAGGGCTCGGGGGCGAAGGTGGCACACAGGGGCCCCCCTGGATGCCCTTCGCTGGGTGTCCTCGCC